CTCACGTTCGATCCTGAGGGCCGTCCGATCCATTTCGATACGTGGCTCGATGACCTGCAGCTGTACCTACTGAGCGATTCTAGAGACGGCGTTCCGTTGTCTGGAGCCTCTCTCGCCCCTCCCGACACAGCTGACAGTGCGACTCGCTCACAGCGGCTTACCCGTGACGCTGCTGCTCGCCTAGCCGTTCGCAACCACTTGCCGTTAGCCGAACGCGCTCACTTTGGCCAGCACAAGACTGCTAGAGCCCTGTACGACGCTGTAGTCGCTCGTTACTCCTCCCCGGCCACTGCTGCTCTAGGCCGCCTTATACTGCCCTACCTTTTTCCCGAGCTGTCCGCCTTTGCCACAGTTGCCGACCTCATCACTCACCTTCGCACTATTCACACTCGCTACCGCGCCGCGCTTCCTACCGAGTTTCTCGCCAAGACCCCCCGCACTTCATCGTCACCCGCCTCCCTGACTCTCTTAGTGCAGTCAGGGACCTCTTTCTCGACATGGACCCCACGGACCTCACTGTCGACCTGCTCAAGAAGCACCTCCTTGCAGCCGTGGCTAGCATAGTCGCTGTAGGTTCTGCTCGTGGCACTCCTCGCACTCCCTTCTTTGAGGGGTGTTCCTCCTCCCCCCTTGTCCCCTCAGCCGCTTTTGCTGCTGCTGTTGACTTCCTTTGTGCTGAGGAGGTCGACACTGCGTCTGCTCCTAGTGGGAGGCGCCGCAGCGGCAAGGGCAAGGGTGGCAAGGGTGGCAAGGGTGGTGGGGCTGGCAGCGGTCGAGGCGGTGGTGGGGGCGGTGGAGGTGGTGGAGGTGGCAGTGGTGGCGGAGGGAGTGGTGGTTGGGGTGGAGGCGTTGGTGGCGCCAGTGGTGGCGGCAGTGGGAGTGGTGGCGGTGGCAGTGGTGGCGGCAGTGGGAGTGATGGCGGCGGCAGTGGTGGCGTCCGGGGTGGTACCGGTCAGAGGGGTGGTTCTGGCGGTGGTCAGATGCAGCAGCAGCAGCGTCAGCGTGAGACCCATACACCCCAGGAGCTTCGTGACTGGTTTGCTCAGCGTGGGGCGTCTGGGGGTAGTGTCCGCTGCCAGTACGTCATTCGCACAGGTGACCGCGCTGGTCAGACATGCAGGAAGGTTAGTCTCACCCAGTCCCGCTGCTTCTCCCGTCTTGACGACGCCTAGCGCGCAGAGTTTGACGACGCGACTGAGCTCCCCCGCTGGCTACAGCTACTTAGGCAGGGTGTGGATATCTTTGCTCTTAACTATGATGCTATCCTTACTGCCATGTATGCATTGACTGTTAGTGCTGAGGGTGACTGTTACCTGTGTGTGCCGCCCGACCCAGGTATAGAGGCTGCTGCTCTAGGTGCTAGTGAGTTTGCTCTCTCTGGTATTGCGCCTGCTGAGCCCTTGCACACGTTCATGCTTGACTCAAGTGCTTCCCGCTGAATCTGTCGCGACAGTACCACTGTCACACCACTCCCTGCACCTGTTGCTGTCAGACTGGCTGACCCCTCAGGGGGCCCAGTTCTTGCTCGTTCCTCCACTGTTCTCCCGTGTCCGGCGGTTCCGTCCGGCTCACTCTCAGGTCTTCACCTCCCCTCGTTCTCTACGAACTTGGTGAGTACCGCTGCCCTCCAGGATGCGATGGTCACTACCACCACTCCTGGGGGTCAGCGTGTGTCGATCTGCACGTGTACACGGACGGGCCGTCACCTGGCCACGTTCACCCGTCGGCCTGGGTTGAGTCTGTACACACTGACTTCTGAGCCTCCCCAGGTAGCTGCGTCTGCGTCCCCGTCAGGTCAGCTAGCAGCCCCCTGCTCGTGTCGCCTCCTGTCGCACCAGACTCTCCTTTGGCACCACCGCCTTGGTCACCCATCCCTGCCACGCCTCAGTGGCATGCACTCCCTTCTCCTTGTCTCTGGTCTTCCCAGGTCTCTGCCTCCCCTCCCACCCTCGCCTGCCCCTCCCTGCCTTCCCTGTGTCGAGGGGCGGCAGCGCGCCGCTCCTCACTCCTCCTCGTTTCCCCTGACGACTGCTCCCCTGCAGACTCTCCACATGGACGTGTGGGGCCCAGCCCGCGTCCGTGGACAGGGCCGCGAGCGATGCTTTCTGCTGGTTGTTGACGACTACTCGCGTTACACCACGGCCTTCCCCTTGCGCAGCAAGGGGGAGGTCCCTGATGTTTTGATCCCTTGGATCCGCGCTGTCCGTCTCCAGCTCTGCGAGCGGTTCCACGAGGACCTTCCTGTCCTACGTCTGCACTCTGCCAGAGGTGGTGAGTTTGCCTCTGACCTCTTGCGGGACTTTTGTCGTGGGGAGGGCATTCGCCAGTCGTTCACGTTTCCGGCCTCTCCGCAGCAGAATGGGGTTGCTGAGCGCCGCATTGGCTTAGTCATGGAGGTCGCTCGTACCTCCATGATCCATGCGGCTGCCCCCCATTTTCTGTGGCTGTTTGCGGTCTGGTACGCTGCGCATCAGCTCAACCTCTGGCCCCGTGTCTCCTTGCCGGAGACCTCGCCTACACTGCGTTGGACGGGGAAGGTTGGCGATGCGTCGGTGTTCCGGGTCTAGGGCTCTCGTGCCTTTGTCCGCGATACTTCCGCAGACAAGCTCTCCTCCCGCGCCTTTCCTTGCGTCTTCCTTGGCTTGCCCCCTGACGCGCCTGGCTGGCAGTTTTACCACCCCACCTCGCGCCGTGTCCTGCCTTCTCAGGGAGTCACTTTTGACGAGTCGGTTCCCTTTTACTGTCTCTTTCCTTACCGCACTGCCCCTCTCCCCCCCCCCCCCCCCCCCCTCCCCCCCCGCCGCTCTTCCTCGCACCAGGTCCTCCTCCGGTAGACCCCCTCCCCCCTCAGGGTCCTTCTCCCTCAGGTGTGTCTCAGGTAGACCCTGTCGAGCCTGTCAAGGTCGCTGTCGACTCTGGTGCTGCTGGGGGTGGTGTTGCTGGGGGTGGTGCTGCTAGGGGTGCTGCGTCTGGGGGTGCTGAGCCTGAGCGTGCGGAGCGTGGGGGTGCTGAGCCTGAGCGTGGGGAGCCTGGGGGTGCTGAGCCTGAGCGTAATGAGCCTGGAGGCCCTACGGGTGCCTCGTCACGGCGGGAGACTCTCTCTCCACCGCAGCTGCGCGAGTGGTTTGCTCGGCGCACCCGCCTTCGGAGTGGCGCTGCTGGAGCTGGGGGGCCTGCCGCTGGAGGCCCTGGAGCTGGAGGCACTAGAGCTGCTGGTCCTGGAGGTGCTGGATCTGCTGGTCGTACTGGAGGCACTGGAGCTGCCTCACTATCCAGGGATGTATCGCCGCGATTTCCGCGGTGAATACATCCTACTCACGGTCTACGTCGACGATCTTCTCTACACAGGATCAAGCAACGAGCTGCTTGAGCAGTTCGAGAAAAATCTCGCGGGGCGCGTTGATATCAGATGCAACCACGACGTGAAGCAGTTTCTCGGCCTCAACATCTCTTATTCGCTAGAAGCCATTCATCTTTCAGCAGCCAAGTATGCAGAGGAACTTGGCAAGCGCTTCAACATCGCACCTGCACCACTCTCCACCCCTTACCGCACTCCAGGATCCAACCACAAGCTTGACAACAAGGATCTGTCCCTCGCTGGGCTTCAGACTTACCAGCAGCAGCTGGTATGCCTGCTTTTCGCCTCTGTTACCTGCAGGCCCGATCTCTCGTACATCGCGTGCCAGCTGGCTCAGTTTTCTCGCAAACCAACGGCTGAGAATCTCCTAGATCTCCAGCGGGCTCTGCAGTTCATCTCCACGCCCAATGTTGGGCTCTGCTACTCCACCATCCCAACCACGTCCTTCAACCTCGTCGGCTACGTGGATGCTGATCATGCCGCTGACCCCGACAATTGACGGTCCAGGACATGCTTCCTTTTTCGCCTCGAGCCCAGCAGCCCCATCTCCTGGAACTCACAGAAACAGGAGCTGGTTGCTCTGTCATCGGCGGAAGCCGAATTCATCGCAGCAACAGCAGCTGTTCGCGAAGGCCTCTACCTACAGGAGCAGCTGCAGGAGGCGAAAATTCCAGCTTCGCCGAACTTCCGCCTGCACTGCGACAACCAGAGTGCGATCAGGATCGCGAACAAGCCTGGGTTCGTCAACCGCACCAAATACATCGCGCTGCGGTACTACTTCCTAACGAAGCGACTGTCACGTCAGCAGTACCAGCACTGCTCCGAACTCAGGGGAGTAGTCAAGCGGGTCAAGACCTGCTACGGTCAGGAGTGAAGGGGGGTGTTACGAATAGTAAAGGATGAAGTATTACAGTGCACTCCTAACCGCAGCAATCGAAGCACACAATACCGAGGCTGAAGACGAAATGGCGGAAGTGGCGCGAAGGGTCGTACGGTTACGAAGCATCTGGACCGTCAGGGCAGACAGCATTAGGCAGCAGCAGTGGCGAAGATTCTGCCCAGGCAGTTCGTAACCGTATGGAGTCGCACGGTTGGATTTCGCTGCAATAAGGGAATGTACCCCTTAGAGTACATGGCTAGCTAGGTCGTTTCGTATTCTATCTTGTAATCTTATTTATATTCCTGTATTTGCATGTCTTAAATCATCTCAAGCATTTTACATTCACTCTGCTTTTAAGGTCAAGGGCCCACCACTACCAATCAGTTGTGTGCGAACCTTCCCGAGGTGATCCTAGGGACGATCAACTTCTGATCGCAGCAGAAATCACATGTCACACGAACTCATTTGGAACAAGAGAGATTTCTATCAGTTTTTCTAACTCTCGGCGTCAGAAAAGGCTCTTTGCTCGTCTGCGCCTCGGTGACAAGCTCCACCATTGTACTGAAAATACACCCTAGCTGCAGAAAGAAGCCCATTTGCGAACAGTCGTGTTTTGCGCTATAGACAGCTGAACTTACCAAAAGAATTAAATTCTTAAAGCTGCGGTCTACAATCTTAGAATGCCATTGAACAGATAATTTCACCTGCTTTTGATGCTCTCAAATTCTGGCCACAAAAGCGGACTTTCACCACTATTACATTTCACTTAGCAAGCGGAGACCGCGGAAAGAGAAGGGAAGATGGCAGAGAGCAAGGTGGAGCAGCTGCATCCTGGTATTCAAAAATAGCTGCACCACTGGCGGCACCATTGCTGGTTATTGCACCATTAGAAGAACCGTTGCTGACTTGGGCGTTGGAGGGACTCCCAGGGCAAAGGCACTGGCAGAACTGATCTGGGTCCATTGGGACGGCATCAGGGAGAGGGTAGTCTGGCAAGATGCCCACCTGAATGCAGGGTACAAGAGAAGAAACTCCCAATGTCAATACAAGTTTTCCAGACACTAAAAAGGTTCTGCAGCTACAAAAAAACATGGAGGATCGAATTCCATAAGGTCAAGAGGGTTTCTCCATTTCTCCTAATGATGCACCCACCCACCCACTCAACCCGGCCTTCTTTCTTCAGCGCTGGCCCGTTTCATTTAACTAAGTCAGTCAAACACGGTGGGGGCCTTACCAGCAAGCCCCCACCCTGTCACCAATCTCTCACCTTGTCAATGTCAGTGTGATCGGGGGTTTCGTAGCGCGCGATGGTGACTGCAAGCCCTGATCCATCCGACAACTCAAACACTGACTGGATCTTGCTGTAAAGGGTACAAGAGCAGTGAGAGGGAGGGTAAGAGTGACAAGGAGGACACAAGAGACAGTGGGTGGGAGAGTGACGATGGGAGGCAAGGGAAACACAAGGAGACGGGGAATTCTTGGGAGAGAACGGGGGACAGGGGCAAGAGAGAGTAACGGCGGGTGCAGCAAGGGGACAGACAGGGAGCGGAAGAGGGCTAAAAGGTAAGGAACACATGAAAACGAATGAAAGGCCACCTTGGGATACACTGGAGATTATTGTGAACAAACGTATCTAGAATTTGCACTGCTGTGCCTCTCATCTCACCCCTTGCCGAAGGTGCGGAACACAAGCGCCCGGTTGTTGTCCTTGAGCGCCCCTGCCAGGATCTCACTGGCGCTCACTGTGCCCTTGTTCACCTGGCGGAGAGGGAGAGGACGGAAGGGAGGGGGAAGTAATCTTCTGAATCACCATGGAGTGAAGCAGCTTCCTGCAACTGTTGTCTTTGAGTGCTCCTGCCAAACTCTCACCGGCGCTGGCTGCGCCCTTGTTCACCTGGCAAGAGAGGAGAAAAACGGGAAGGGGAGGAGAAGGGAATTAGGGACGATGACTGACAAGGGTGCTGCAACAGGATACTAGGATGCTACAAGGATGCCACACTGCAGTGCTGCGGCTTACCCGCACACAACACAAGCGAGGCATGGGAGGTAGGCTCAGCAGCACAGTGGCTCAGCAGTCCAAGCACAAGGCACGCGCTACGATTGGTTGTTGCTCACCAGCACAGCAAGGGCCTGAGAGGTGGCGATAGCACCCTCTCTGTTGGTCTCATAGACGTCCCGCACTCCAAGGCTGTCCGTGGTGTATACTTGCGAAGGATGCGTGTGAAAATGAGTACACGTTTACCAGTGTTAGGTCTCACCAGCACAGCAAGGGGCTGAGTGGTGGCAATGGCGCCCTCCCCGTTGGTCTCATACACACATCGCCAATCCAAATTGCAGCTGACAGGGGAATCATTCGTGAAAGGCTCAGCAGCACAGCGCAAGGAACAGCTTTTGATATGGACTCACCAGGACAGCAAGGGGCTGAATGGTGGCAATGGCGCCCTCCCCGTTGGTCGCATACACGTCCCGCACCCCTAGGCTGTCCGTGATGTACACTAGCGTGCCCTTGTTGATCCTGAGACGGGAGATAGGCTGCGCCTGCAGCCTACTGATCTGTCGCTGCAACTCTTCCGGGCTCCTCCTGGCTCCTCCTCCCCTCTGATAGCAGTCCTTGGCCTCGTGCCCCTTCTTCTTGCACACCTCGCACCTGGCGGCATCAGGACACTCTCGTTTGCGGTAGCCCGGCTTCCCGCACCCATCACAGTTCTCGCAATCTCTGCGGAGGTGCCCTGGCTGTCCACAGCGGTGGCAGCTCCTGGTTTCTGCCCGTGCCTCTCCTCGCTCCTCTACCTTCCCTCGTTCCTCTGGTATAATGGCTGCCGCCCAGGTTGGCCTGCGGGCTCTCTCCAGCTGTCTGGGTAGGTATGCCTCATACTTCCTCTGTGCGAGCTCCACTCTTTCGGCTAGCTCGAACACCTCCTCCAGTCTTGCCTCCGCGACCAGCTCATACACCTTCATCCGCAGCCCGCCTCCCAGTGCCTCGTCCAAGCCCCCCAGGAACTTACTGATCAGGAAGCTACTATCCGTGCACCTCACATCCTCGGCTATGTTGATCAGCCGATTGTAGTACGCCAGTAGTGATTCTGCCCTTCCTCGCTTGAATTCCTGAAATTCCCTTATCCTTTCCGCCGTGTGCCCTGGGAATTGCCGCTGCAACCGCTCCAAGAACACTTCGGTTGTGTCTTCCCCGTACCTCCCTGCCCTCCACAGTAGCTCCTCCATCCTCATACGGTACAGAGTCTCGGCTTCCCCATCCAAGGTATTTGGCAGGCTCAAGAAGAAGTCTATGGGGTCCATGCCATTCCGATCACACCGATACTTCACATTCCCCACTTGCATCAGGTAGTTCTCGAGCGACGGCCCCGCCTGCTGATCGCGTGAGAACCTGGCCGGCACCTCTACGCTTGTCGCCGTGGCCGCGCCCCCTCTTCCCTCTCACCACGACTCACTCACCCCTCCCCGCGGTCTCCCATACCCCCCCTTTTGCCCAGCTCGTTCCAGGCCCTCTCTGGCCATTCGTGCACGCTCAGCCCCCTGCGCAAAGGTGCCAGTCCTGGCCCTGCTCTCCAGCTGCTCTCCGCGCGTCTCTCCCGAGTGTTCCCACTGACCCTCCTCCCTTCCTGCCCGTTCCCATCGCCGTGCCGGCGAGTAGTGACTCTGCTCCCATTCCCTCGGGCCTGCTTCACGCGGCTGACGTCTCGCTGGGGTTGGCGGCCACTCCTCCCTTCCCTTGCCCTGCTGCCGTATGCCATGCGGCGAGCGGCCTGCTTCTTCCTGCCTTCCCTCTCGCCAACGGCGCCGGTCGGGCGACCGCGACTCTCCTCTGGGCCCTTCCCCCCACTGCTGCCGCCTGTGCGGTGAGCGTGATCCTCCCTTCTGGCGCCCCTCCCAGTGCCGCTGCGTCTCTGGCGAGCGATGCTCCCTGCCACGGCTTCCTCCATGTGCCTGGGGTCGAGCCACCGAGCGGACCATATTCTCCTCCACTCCTCTCCGCCTTCCTTCCGCCTCCCCGTACCGCTCGGCCCTCGGCGGCGGTTCTCTTGACGAGCGCGAGCTTCCGTCCCTCGGCTCCGCCCGCCGTCGCTGGACTCTCGTCGTGCGCCTGTCCTCCGCCTCGCTCCGTCCGCGCATTCCCTGCGGCTGCACCGCGTGTGCCTCTCCCTCACGAGTCCGGCCTTCCTGCTGCAGCGCATCGCGGGCGTACTGCTATTCCAGACGGTTGGGGTCCGTGGCACGTGACCCCTCCTCCCGTGCCTCTCCCTCTTCCTCCTCCGCTGTCGCCGCGGTGTCGGCGTGTTCCGCGCTGGGCGCGCGCTCTCCCTCTTCGGCTCCGCTCGGGACGTAGGTTCTCGCGCGCGTCTGTTCGTCGCCCTCCTGCTGCGGGTCACCATGCTCCTGCTCCTCGCCGTGCTCCTGTTCGTCGCCGTACCCCTGCTCGTCGCCGTGTTAACGCTCGTCGCCGTACCCTTGCCCGTCGTCGTACGCCGGCTCGTCGCCGTACTCCTGCTCAGCCTCCTCGTTCCCCGCCTCCTCCTCGTCACTCTCCTCCCGCGTCCGCTCGGCCCGCGGATCCTGTTCGGCCCGGCGGACGCCCGAGCCTTCTCCTCGCTCCCGCGGGAGTCCCTCCCTCCCACGCCAGCGACCTCGCTCATTACGACGCCGGCCTCCCCCTTCTGGGGAACGAACACCCCTTCGTCGCGCGGGTGGCGGTGCTCGTCGCCGCGCAGGTGGAACGTGTTTCTCCGCCATGGCGCGCCGCTCTTAGATGTATCGAGTCTGCCGCCAACAGGTATGCCCTGCGCCGCCTCTCTCTCTCGGCTGGCCGGCACGACGGGAACTCTATCTGCACGGAAGGCCAACCTTCGGGGTGATCTCTCTAGGGAACGCCCACGCTCCTGCGAGCGCTCATGCCGCGGCCCTTCCTCCTCTCGACGGGTGAAGACCCGGCCCCATCGTAACTCATACTTATCCATGCTACCTGACCGACTCGATGCTTGTTTCTTATTATGAAAGAGATCACTCCCTCACCCCACTGGTTCCCTCCTCGTGGCGTACCAATGTGTGCCAAGAGCTGAAAAGTGCTAACTTCCACTGATATAAGAGAATAATAAGAAACAAACAACGAGTGGGTGAATGTGAGTGACCTTACCCATCCTCACCCCAGGCTGCACATTTCCCAATGCGCGGCTCGGGGTGAGGATTTGGTTTCTCATTTCGCCCCTCGGTGCTTCCCCCGTAATTCCAACCGTCTCCTTTTTGTTCCCCCATCTTTTGCCTAATGCAACCATTACTGTACTACATTCCGCGCCCCATGCTAGTGTAGCCATATATGCATTAAGTGCATATATCCTAATATACTATTCTGCCTCCTACACCTTTATTCTACTGTTATTGTATCTGCATAAATTGCATATGCGGTGACAGTTCGTCCGATGGACCGGTTGGACCAACTGGCCTGTTGGCGCAATGGACCAGTTGGACCAACTGGCCTGTTGGCCCGATGTACCGGTTAGACCAACTGGCCTATAGGCCCAATGGACCGGTTGGACCAACTGGCCTGTTGGCCCGATGGACCGGTTGGACCAATTGGCCTGTTGGCCCGATGGACCGGTTGGACCAACTGGCCTGATGGCCCGATGGACCGGTTGGACCAACTGGCCTGTTGGCCCGATGGACCGGTAGGACCTGGACCGGTTGGACCAACTGGCCTGTTGGCCCGATGGACCGGTAGGACCAACTAGCCTGCTGGCCCGATGGACCGGTAGGACCAACTAGCCTGTTGGTCCGATGGACCGGTAGGACCAACTAGATTGTTGGTGCGATGGACCGGTTGGACCAACTGGCCTGTTGGCCCGATGGACTGGTGCGACGAACTGGCCTATTGGCCCCATGGACCGGTAGGACCAACAGGCTTGTTGGCTCGATGGACCGTTTAGACCAGCTGGCTTGTTGACCCAATGGATTAGTTGGACCAACTGGTCTGTTGGTCCAATGGACCGGTTCGACCAACTGCCTGTTGGGCGAATGGTGTAGTAGGACCAACTGTCCTGTTGGTCCAATAGACCGGTTGGACCAACTGGCCTGTTGGTCCAATGGACCGGTTGGACCAACTAGAATGTTGGTCCAGTGGACCTGTTGGACCATCTAGCCCGTTGGCCCTATGGACCGGTTGGACCATCAGCCCGTTGGCCCAATGCGCCGGTTGGATCAACTGGCCTGTTGGCACGATGTACCAGATGGATCAACTGGCCTATTGGCCCGATGGACATGTTGGACCAAATGGCTTGTTGGTCCGATGGACCGGTTGGACCAACTTGCTTGTTGGCGCGATGGACCGGTTGGACCAACTGGACTGTTGGTCCAACGGACCGATTTGGCCCAACCGTCCTCTTGGTCCAATGGGACCAACTGCCTGTTGGTCCAATGGAACGGTAGGACCAACTGGCCTGTTGGTCCAATGGACCAGTAGAACCAACTGGCCTGTTGGCCCGATGGACCAGTCTGTTGGCCCGATGGACCGGTAGGACCAACTGGCCTGTTGGTCCAATGGTCCAGTAGAACCAACTGGCCTGTTGGCCCGATGGACCAGTCTGTTGGCCCGATGGACCGGTAGGACCAACTGGCCTGTTCGTCCGATGGACAGGCTGGACCAACTGTCCTGTTGACTCAATGGACCGGTTGGACCAACTGGCCTGTTGGCCCGATAGACTGGTCGGACCAACTAGCCTGTTGCCTCGATGGACTGGTTGGACCAACTGGCCTGTTGGCCCGATGGACCGGTTGGACCAACTGGGCTGTTGGCCCGATGGACCGGTTGGACGAACTGGACTGTTGGTCCAACGGACCGATTTGGCCCAACCGGCCTAACTGCCTGTTGGTCCAAAAGACAGGTAGGACCAACTGGCCTGTTGGTCCAATGGACCGGTTGGACCAACTGGCGTGCTGGCCCGATGGACCGGTTGGACCAAATGGCGTGCTGGCCCGATGGACCGGTTGGACCAACTGGCCTGTTTGCCCGATGTACCGATAGGCCCCACTGGCCTGTTGGCCCGATGGACCGGTAGGACCAACTGGTCTGTTGGCCTGATGGACCGGTAGGACCAATTGGCCTGTTAGCCCGAACGACCGGTTGGACCAACTAGCCTGTTGGTTCGAGACCAGTAGGACCAACTCGCATATTGGCCTAATGGACCGGTTGGACCAACTGGCCTGTTGGTCTGATGGACCGGTTCGACCAACTGCCTGTTGGTCCAATGGACCTGTTGGACCAACTGGCCTGTTGGTCCAATGGACCGGTTGGACCAACTGGCTTGTTGGCCCAATGGACCGGTTGGAACCACTGGCCTTTTGGCCCAATGGACCGGTTGGACCAACTGGCCTGTTGGCCCAATGGACCGGTTGGACCCACTGGCCTGTTGGCCCAATGGACCGGTGGGAACAACTGACATGTTGGCCCAATGGACCGGTAGGACCAACTGGCCTGTTAGTTCAATAGACCGGTTGGACCAATTGGCATGTTGGCCCAATGGACCGGTTGGACCAACTGGCCTGCAGGTTCGATGGACTAGTAGTACCAACTGGCATGTTGGCCTAATGGACTGGTTGGACCCACTGGTGTGTTTGCCCAATCGACCGATTGGACCAACTAGCCTGTTGGCCCAATGGATCGGTAGGACCAACGGCCTGTTGGTCCAATGGACCGGTTGGACCAACTGGCTTGTTGGCCCAATGGACCGGTTGGACCAACTGGCCGGTTGGTTCGATGGACCGGAAGGACCAACTGGCATGTTGGCCCAATGGACCAGTTGGACCAACTGGCCTATTGGTTCGATGGACCGGTAGGACCAACTGGCATGTTGGCCCAATGGACCGGTTGGACCAACTGGCTTGTTGGCCCAATGGACCTGTTGGACCAACTGGCCTGTTGGCCCAATGGACCGGTTGGACCCACTGGCCTGTTGGTCCAATGGATCGGTTGGACCAACCGGCCTGTTGGCCCAATGGACCGGATGGACCAATTGGCAAGTTGGCCCAATAGACTGGTTGGACCACCTGGCATGTTGGTCCAATGGACCTGTTCGACCAACTGCATGTTGGCCAAATGGACCGGTTGGACTAACTGGCATGTTGGCCCAATGGATCGGATGGACCAACTAGCCTGTTGGTCCAATGGACCTGTTCGCCCAACTGCATGTTGGCCAGATGGACCGGTTGGACCAACTGGCATGTTGGCCCTATGGACCGGTTGGACCAACTGGCCTGTTGGCCCGATGGACCGGTTGGACCCACTAGCCTGTCGGCCCAAGGGACCAGTTGGACCAACTGGCCTGTTGGCCCAATGGACTGGTTGGACCAACTGGCCTGTCGGCCCAATAGACCGGTTGGACCAGCAGGCCTGTTGGCCCAATGGACCGGTTGGAACAACTGCATGTTGGCCCAATGGACCGGTTGGACCAACTGGCCTGTTGGTCGAATGGATCGGTTGGACCAACCGGCCTGTTGGCCTAATGGACCGGTTGGACCAATTGGCAAGTTGGCACAATAGACTGGTTGGACCACCTGGCATGTTGGTCCAATGGACCTGTTCGACCAACTGCATGTTGGCCAGATGGACCGGTTGGACTAACTGGCATGTTGGCCCAATGGATCGGATGGACCAACTAGCCTGTTGGTCCAATGGACCTGTTCGCCCAACTGCATGTTGGCCAGATGGACCGGTTGGACCAACTGGCATGTTGGCCCTATGGACCGGTTGGACCAACTGGCCTGTTGGTCCAATGGACCGGTTGGACCCACTAGCCTGTCGGCCCAAGGGACCAGTTGGACCAACTGGCCTGTTGGTCCAATGGACCGTTTGGACCAACAGGCCTGTTGGTCCAATGGACCGGTAGGACCAACTGCATGTTGGCCCGATGGACCGGTAGGACCAACTGCATGTTGGCCCGATGGACCGGTTGGACCAACTAGCCTGTTGATCCAATGGACCGGATGGACAAACTCGCCTGTTGGCCAGATGGACCGGTTGGACCAAATGGCCTGTTGGCCTCATGGACCCTTTGGACCAACTCGCATGTTGGCCTTATGGACCGGAAGGACCAACAGGCCTGATGGCCCGATGGACCGGTTGGACCAACTGGATTGTTGGCCTCATGGACCGGTTGGACCAACTGGCCTGCTGGCCCGATGGACCGGTTGGACCAACTGGCCTGTTGGCCTGATGGACCGGTTGGACCAACTGGCGTGTTGGTCCAATGGACTGGTTGGACCAACTGGCCTGTTGGCTTAATGGACCGGTTGGACCAACTGCCTGTTGGTCCAACAGACTGGTTGGACCAACTGCCTATTGGTCGAATGGACCGATTGGACCAACTGGCCCGATGGTCCAATGGGCCGGTTGGACGAACTGGCCCGTTGGGTTAATGGACTGGTAGGACCAACTGGCCCGTTTGTTCAAAGGACAGGTAGGACCAACTGGCCCGCTGGTCCAATGGACCGGTAGAATACACAGGCCCGTTGGTCCAATGGACCGGTTGGACCAACTGGCCCGTTGGTCCAATTGACCGGTTGGACCAAGTGGCCCGTTGGTCCAATGGACCGGTTGGACCAACCGGCCTGTTGGCCCAATGGACTGGTTGGACCAACAGGCCCGTTGGTCCAATGGACCGATAGGACCAACTGGCCCGCTGGTCCAATGGACCGGTAGGACCAACTGGCCCGTTGGTCCAATGGACCGGTTGGACCAACTGGCCCGCTGGTCCAATGGACCGGTTGGACCAACTGGCTTTCTGGCCCAATGAACCGGTTAGACCCATTGGCCTGTTGGCCCAATGGACTGGTTGGAACAACTGGCATGTTGGCCCAATGGACCGGTAGGACCAACTGGCCTGTTAGTTCAATAGACCGGATGGACCAACTGGCATGTTGGCCCAATGGACCGGTTGGACCAACTGGCCTGCTGGTTCGATGGACCAGCAGCACCAACTGGCATGTTGGCCTAATGGACCGGTTGGACCAACTAGCCTGTTGGCCCAATGGACCGGTAGGACCAACGACTTGTTGGTCCAATGGACCGGTTGGACCAACTGGCTTGTTGGCCCAATGGACCGGTTGGACCAACTGGCAGGTTGGTTCGATGGACCGGTAGGACCAACTGGCATGTTGGCCCAATGGACCGGTTGGACCAACTGGCCTGTTGGTTCGATGGACCGGTAGGACCAACTGGCATGTTGGCCTAATGGACCGGTTGGACCAACTGGCTTGTTGGCCCAATGGACCGGTTGGACCAACTGGCATATTGGTCCAATGGACCGGTAGGACCAACTGTCCTGTTAGTCCAATGGACCGGTAGGGCCAACTAGCCTGTTGGCTCAATGGACCGGTAGGACCAACGGCCTGTTGGCCTAATGGACCGGTTGGACCAACTGGCCTGTTGGATCGATGAACTGGTAGGACCAACTGGCATGTTGCCGTAATGGGCCAGTTGGGCAAACAAGCCTGTTGACCCAATGGACCAGTAGGACCAACGGCCTGTTGGTCCAATGGACCGGTTGGACCAACAGGCTTGTTGGCCCAATGGACCGGTTGGACAACTGGCCTATTGGCCCAATGGACCGGTTGGACCCACTGGCTTGTTGGCCCAATGGACCGGTTGGACCACCTGGCATGTTGGTCCAATGGACCGGTAGGACCAACTGGCCTGTTAGTCCAATGGACCGGTAAAACCAACTACATGCTGGCCCAATGGACCGGTTGGACCAACTGGCCTGTTGGTTCGATGGACCGGTAGGACCAACTGGCATCCTGGCCTAATGGACCGGTTGGACCAACTGGCTTGTTGGCCCAATAAACCGGTTGGACCAACTGGCCTGTTGGTCCAATGGACTGGTTGGACCAACTGGCATATTGGTCCAATGGACCGGTAGGACCAACTGTCCTGTTAGTCCAATGGACCGGTAAAACCAACTACATGTTGGCCCAATGGACCGGTTGGACCAACTGGCCTGTTGGCCTCATGGACCGGTTGGACCAACTGGCGTGTTCGTTCGATGAACTGGTAGGACCAACTGGCATGTTGGCGCCTGTTGGCCCAATGGACCGGTAGGACCAACGGCCTGTTGGTCCAATGGACCGGTTGGACCAACAGGCTTATTGGCCCAATGGACCGGTTGGACAACTGGCCTATTGGCCCAATGGACCGGTTGGACCCACTGGCTTGTTGGCCCAATGGACCGGTCGGACCACCTGGCATGTTGGTCCAATGGACCGGTAGGACCAACTGGCCTGTTAGTCCAATGGACCGGTAAAACCAACTACATGCTGGCCCAATGGACCGGTTGGACCAACTGGCCTGTTGGTTCGATGGACCGGTAGGACCAACTGGCATCCTGGCCTAATGGACCGGTTGGACCAACTGGCTTGTTGGCCCAATAAACCGGTTGGACCAACTGGCCTGTTGGCCCAATGGACTGGTTGGACCAACTGGCATATTGGTCCAATGGACCGGTAGGACCAACTGTCCTGTTAGTCCAATGGACCTGTAAAACCAACTACATGTTGGCCCAATGGACCGGTTGGACCAACTGGCCTGTTGGCCTCATGGACCGGTTGGACCAACTGGCGTGTTCGTTCGATGAACTGGTAGGACCAACTGGCATGTTGGCGTAATGGGCCGGTTGGGCCAACAAGCCTGTTGGCCCAATGGACCGGTAGGACCAACGGCCTGTTGGTCCAATGGACCGGTTGGACCAACAGGCTTGTTGGCCCAATGGACCGGTTGGACAACTGGCCTATTGGCCCAATGGACCGGTTGGACCCACTGGCTTGTTGGCCCAATGGACCGGTTGGACCAACTGGCATGTTGGTCCAATGGACCGGTAGGACCAACTGGCCTGTTAGTCCAATGGACCGGTAAAACCAACTACATGTTGGCCCAATGGACCGGTTGGACCAACTGGCCTGTTGGCCCAATGGACCGGTTGGACCAACTGGCCTGTTGGCCCAATGGACCGGTTGGACCAACTGGCCAGTTGGTCCAATGGACCGGTTGGACCAACTGGCCTGTTGGCCCAACGGACCGGTTGGACCAACTGGCCTGTTGGCCCAACGGACCGGTTGGACCAACTGGCCTGTTGGCCCAACGGACCGGTTGGACCAACTGGCCTGTTGGCCCAACGGACCGGTTGGACCAACTGGCCTGTTGGCCCAACGGACCGGTTGGACCAACTGGCCTGTTGATCCAACGGACCGGTTGGACCAACTAGCCTCTTGGCCCGATGAACCGGTTGGACCAACTGACCTGGTGGCCCAATGGACCGGTTGGACCTGCTGGCCTGTTGGCCTGATGGACCGGTTGACCAACTGGCCTGTTGGTCCAATGGACCGGTTGGACCAACTGGCCTGTTGGCCCAATGGACCGGTTGGACCAACTGGCCTGTTGGCCCAATAGACTGGTTGGACCAGCAGGCCTGTTCGCCCAATGGACCGGTTGGAACAACTGCATGTTGGCCCAATGGACCGGTTGGACTAACTGGCCTGTTGGTCCAATGGACCGGATGGACAAACTCGCCTGCTGGCCAGATGGACCGGTTGGACCAAATGGCCTGTTGGCCCCATGGACCGATAGGACCAACTGGCCTGTTGGCCCAATGGACTGGTTGGACCAACTGGCATATTGGTCTAATGGATTGGTAGGACCAACTGTCCTGTTAGTCCAGTGGACCGGTAGGACCAACTAGCTTGTTGGCTCAATGGACCGGTAGGACCAACTGGCATGTTGGCCTAATGGACCGGTTGGACCAACTGGCCTGTTGGCCCAATGGACCGGTTGGACCAAGTGGCCTGTTGGCCCAATGGACCGGTTGGACCAACTGGCCTGTTGGCCTAATGGACCGGTTGGACCAACTGGCCTGTTGGCCCAATGGACCGGTTGGACCAACTGGCCTGTTGGCCCAATGGACCGGTTGGACCAACTGCAAGTTGGTCCAATGGACCGGTTGGACCAACTGGCCTGTTGGCCCAATGGACCGGTTGGACAACTGGCCTGTTGGCCCAACGGACCGGTTGGACCAACTGGCCTGTTGGCCCGATGAACCGGTTGGACCTGCTGGCCTGTTGGCCCGATGGACCGGTTGACCAACTGGCCTGTTGGTCCAACGGACCGGTTGGACCAACTTGCCTGTTGGCCCAATAGACTGGTTGGACCAGCAGGCCTGTTCGCCCAATGGACCGGTTGGAACAACTGCATGTTGGCCCAATGGACCGGTTGGACTAACTGGCTTGTTGGCCCAATGGACGTGTTGGACAAACTGGCCTGTTGGTCCAATGGACCGGATGGACAAACTCGCCTGTTGGCCAGATGGACCGGTTGGACCAAATGGCCTGTTGGCCCCATGGACCGGTTGGACCAACTGGCCTGTTGGCCTCATGGACCGGAAGGACCAACTGGCCTGATGGCCCGATGGACCTGTTGGACCCACTGGATTGTTGGCCTCATGGACCAGTTTGACCAACTGACCTGCTGGCCCGATGGACCAGTTGGACCAACTGGCCTGTTGGCCTGATGGACCGGTTGGACCCACTGGCCTGTGGGTCCAATGGACTGGTTGGACCAACTGGCCTGGTTGGACCAACTAGCCCGTTGGCCCAATAGACAGGTTGGACCAACAGCATGTTGGTCCAATGGACCGGTTGGACCAACTGGCCTGTTGGCCCAATGGACCGGTTGGACTAACTGGACTGTTGGCCCAATGGACCGGTTGGACCAACTCGCCTGTTGGCCCAATGGACCGGTTGGACGAACTAGCTTGCTGGCCCAATGGACAGGTTGGACCAACTCGCCTGTTAGCCCAATGGACCGGTTGGACCAACTCTGCCGTTGGTCCAATGGACCGGGAGAACCAATAGGCCCGTTGGCCCAATGGACCGGTTGGACCAACTGGCCCGTTGGCCCAATGGACTGGTTGGACCAACTGGCCCGTTGCCCAATGGACCGGTTGGACCAACAACCTGTTGGTCGAATGGACCGGTACGACCAACTGGCCCGTTAGTCCAATGGACCGGTTTGACCAACTGGTCTGTTGGTCCAATGGAACGGTTGGACCAACTGGCCTGTTGGCCCAATGGACCGGTTGGACCAACCGGCCTGTTGGCCTCATGGACCGGAAGGACCAACTGGCCTGATGGCCCGATGGACCGGTAGGACCAACTGGCCCGTTGGTCCAATGGACCGGTTGGACCAACTGGCCCGTTGGTCCAATGGACCGGTTGGACCAACGGGCCCGTTGGTCCAATGGACCGTTAGGACCAACCGGCCCGTTGGTCCAATGGACCGGTAGGACCAACTGGCCCGTTGGTCCGATGGACCGGTTGGAACAACTGGCTCGTTGGCCTGATGGACCGGTTGGACCAACTGGCCTATTGGTCCGATGGACAGGTTGGACCAACTGGCCTGTTGGTCGAATGAACCGGTTGGACCAACTGGCCCGTTGGTCCAATGAACCGGTTGGACCAACTGCCTTTTGGTCGAATGGACCGGTAGGACCAACAGGCCTGTTGGTCCAATGGACCAGTTGGACCAACCGGCCTGATGGCCCGATGGACCAGTAGGACCAACTGGCCCGTTGGTCCAATGGACCGGTAGAACCAACTGGCCCACTAGTCCAATGGACCGGTAGGACCAACTGGCCCGTTGGTCCAATGGACCGGTTGGACCAACCGGCCTGTTGGCCCAATGGACCGGTTGGACCAACCGGCCTGTTGGCCTCATGGACCGGAAGGACCAACTGGCCTGATGGCCCGATGGACCGGTTGGACCAACTGGATTGTTGGCCTTGTCACCGCTTATGCACGTGATGCATAAGCAATAACAGGAATACAAGGGGTGAAGGAATAGTAATAGATGATAACCTTACAATTGCATTTCAAGTAGATTAATGAGTAGTGTAGAGTGTAGCGAGGTTACTGTTGGAATAGGCTTAGAAGGGGGGGGGAAGGAATGTGAACAGTGGGGAAGTCTCGGGGGGGAAAGCCTCGAAGTGCGAAATGTGGGACGAAGGGCGAAATGTCCCAACCCCGAGCCGCGCATTGAGGAATGTGCAGCACAGGGTTGGGCAGGGTAAGGCCGAGCACTCACAGAGCACTCGTTGCTTGTTTCCTGGTATTCTCTCAGAATAGTGGAAGATATTGCTCTAAGCTTTGCACACAGCGGTACGCCACCAAGAGGGAACCAGTGGGGTGAGGGAGCGATCCCGTTCATACCAGGAAACAAGTGTAGGCACTTAGCATGGACAAGTATGAGTTACGATGGGGCCGGGTCTTCACTCGACGCGAAGAGGAAGGGCCGCGGCCCGAACGCTCGCGGGAGCGTGGGCGTTCCTTAGAGCGGTCGCCCCAAAGGCCGGCCTTTCGAACTGATAGAGTTCCCGTCGTGCCAGCCAGCCGAGAAAGAGAGGCGGTGCAAGGCGTACGTGGCGGTGGCCGACTCGGCGCGATGACGAGCGACGTGCCGTGGCGGAGGAACACGATCCACCTTCGCGGTGACGAGCAGCGCCACCCGCGCGACGAAGGGGTGTTCCACTCCCCAGAAAGGGGGGGTCGGCGGCGGGATGAGCGAGGTCGCTGGCGGAGGAGGGAGGGATTCCCGCGGGAGCAAGGAGTGGGCTCTGGGGTGCACTGGGCCGGACAGGATCCGCGGGCCGAACTGACGCGGGAGGAGCGTGACCACGAGGAGGCTGAGCGGGAGCTTGGCGACGGGCCGGCGTACGACGACGGGCAGTGGCACCTCGACGAGCAGGCGCATGGCGAGGAGCCGGAGCGCAGTGACGAGCCTGAATACGGCGACGAGCAGGATAGCGACGGCGAGCAGGAGCATGGCGGGGAACAAGAGCGCGATGAAGGGCAGGAGGCCGACGGCGAGCGGGCGCACGGCGGGGAACAGGAGCACCACGACCCGCGGCGGGACGGCGGCGAGCAGACACGCGCGGGACCCCACGTCCCAGGCGGAGTTGAGGAAGGAGAGCGCGCGCCCGGTGCGACACACGCCGGCACCACGAAGACAACGACAGAGGAGGAAGGAGAGGCGCAGGAGAGGGGGTCGCGTGCGACGGGCCCCAACCATCGGGAAGGACAGCCTGCCCGCGATGCACCGCAGCCGGAAGGCCAGGCTCGAGAGGGAGGGGACACGCACGATGCCGACGCGGGGAGTACGCGGACGAAGCGAGGCAGAGGACAGACACGCAACGGGAGTCCAGCGTCGGTGGGCTGAGGCGAGCGACGGCGGCTCGCGCTCGTCAAGGGAACCGCCGCCAAGGGCCGAACGGTATGGGGGCGCGGAAGGAAGACGGGGAGGAGCGGAGGAGAGCACGGTTCGCTCTGGGGTGCCACCGCGGGCGCTGGGAGGAGGCCATGGGGGGGAGCATCACTCGCCAGAAACGCGGAGGCGTAGGGAGGGGCGGCGGATGGAGGGGTCACGTTCACCGCACAGGCGGCAACAATGGGGGGGGGGGGGGGGAACCAGAGGAGATTCGCGGTCGCCCGACCGGCGCCGTTGGCGGGAGGAAGGGCGGGAGGAAGCAGGACGCGCGCCGCCAGGCACACGGTTGCAGGAGAGGAAGTCGACGTTGGGAGTGCTGGTTGTGTGGCGACTCCGACCAACTCTCCTTCGAGTGCCCCGACAGCACCGACTCCGACGACGACGACACCAAAGGAGGCCGAGGGAGGTCTGAAGGGCGTCGTCCTCGTCGGGAGAGCAAGCCGCGCAAGGAGAAGCAGTCGACCCAATCGTCGACCTCGGCGAAGGACGCCGACTCCTCTGGTGGCAAGGGTCGAGGCGACCAGGAGGTGGTGTGCTCGCTGGTCGGCGTCGTGGAGCCGAGTGGCATGGGTCCTCTGCACTGACCCTCGTCCCGACTCAGCGAAGTCAACGACGACCACAACGGACGTGGTGGATCTGCGGGCGATCGTCTCGGCGACAAAGTTGACGCCGGCCAGGTGGCATGATAGGCTTGCATTCGTCGACGTCGACACCATCACGAGCTCGACGAAGCATGAATTCGCCACCGGCCTGGACTTCAAGCCGTCGGACGGCACCGACTCTCCGTGGGTCTTGTGCGTCGCCACTGCTGCCGGGGACGACGCCGTACCAGCTGCTGACCGGCAAGAAGCCCGACTTGACGCTGGCCCGCGTGTGGGGCTAGATGGCGTAGTTCCTCTCCCCCAAGCAACAACGCGGTGGAAAGCTGAAGCCGAAGGCCAGGTGGGACCTTCATCTCGGTGTGTCGGAGGAGAGCAAGGGCTGGGAGCTCCTCGACCTCACCGACAACAGGGTGGTCACCACGTCGGACGTGATGTTCTACGAGACGATGTCGCTGGAGGTGTGGAAGTCGGAGCATGGGCCGGTGTCTTGGCGGACGCAGGTCGACCAGCCGACGGACACCTCGACGGCGACACTCCCCTAACTCGCCGAGGTCGGTGAGAATGCTGACAAGGGCGCCGGGGACGTCCGCCCTCTTTCCCTTTCCCCTGCCCCTCCTGTCCCTCCCCTTGTCGGTGGTGGTGAAAGGGAGCAATCGGTGCAGTCCACGACAACGACAAGGTGGAGGTGCAGGTCGACCAGCCTGGACTGCGGTGTTCAGGTCGGATTCGAGGGCCGCCAGAGCGGCTGACCTATCACGTTTGCCTCCCGCCAGCCGCCTTCACCATGTTGTACGACAACGACATGTTGTACGACGACGCCGGGGACGATGTCGACCTGCAAAAGCTCGACCCCGACATGCATTTCGACCCCGAGCATCGTTGGCACATCACGACGATAACGGTGAAGGAGGTATTGGCAAGCTGGAAGGGTAAGGCGGTGAAGGCCGCCATGGACGAGAAGATCCGTAGTCTCATCGGCATGGGCTTCTAGGAGCCGGTCAAATGCCCACGAGGGGTGAACATCATGAAGAACCGGTGGGTGCTGATGAACAAGTACCACGTTGTTGGGTGCAAATTCACATTGCACGACATCCTGCCGTCTGTTTGTACGAGTATGCGTGTGCGAATGCATTTGGGTGTGAATGGAATGTTCGTGTGTTTGTTTGCTTTCGCAATTATCGCTTGATGCATTTGCAGGTACTCGTGCAATGTGCGCTTCGGCACAGCATTGTACGCGCTATGAACAGTGCAAGCAGAAAGGACGAGCTCGCAAAGGAACCCAAGATAGAAGCTTTGCAGTTCAGTTGAATTGATTGCGCAGATTCAGTTCTATCCAACTCGAAATTGTACTATTTTGTTTGGTTGATTATAGTGTAGCAAGGCAGGCACTATAGGGGTACAATTTAGGTGAAGGTTGGATGTTGTTTGTCTGTATCTCCATGCTACAGGGCCAGGGGAAACCAGCGGAACCAGCATTTGGCTGGTTGGGCAAAGACAAAAACATGTTCTGTTTTGAGGACCTGAACCTGGTTGTTGTTTTCCCAGGTTGGAAAAACAGAACCAGAGGTTGTTTACCAACCTACCACCTGCTGTTTTGTCCAGCCAGGTTGGTTCAGTTGCTTGGAAGTATTTGGGATCATTCTTGGTTGTTCCCAGGTTGATTCCCAAGGTCCTTGCTAGCTAGAAGTATTTATTCCTTCTCTGTTTGTACCTGGATATAGTCATAATGATTCATGTAAATTCCTTCCTTGCTGTAATTTCGTTTCTATGCGGTTCGACGGCGGAATGCTACCGAGTCAACGCTAGTACGCTAGCACTACGACGCTAGGCAAACGCTGTCCGAGCCATAACTATGCAATGGCAGAACTTTTCGCGAGGCAACTTGGTTTATTTCATAGCTCTTAGAGTGAGCTTCGATAGAGCAAATTCTCAGCTTAATCGGATCGACGGTCTGCACGGCACGCTGCGCAACGATCAAGGTATTCTTGCTAATTTGGCTAAGTCATTCTTGACTCCTCTCTCTACAAACTCTGACTCGAGGATAGGGGCTGGTCTTGTACCAGGTACCCAAGGACCCTTGGAGGTGACCCCGAGGAGAGGTTTTAAGTTTGATTAAGTCATAATAGCCTGAGTGTATTAGGCCTTTACACCAACAGTTGCTGCTGCCGCCGCCGTTGCTGGAGGTTTCCCATTCCAAGGGATGATGGGCCGCTGCCACAGGTCCTTGATGCAGCTGCTCTTCTCCTCCAGATTCCACAGTAGCATCTTCACAAGTTTTTCACGGCAGCTGGTTGGGCCAAAGGTCACTTTGGCCTTGCTCTTTTGCAGCCGGAGCACAAAAAGAAGGTTAGCGGAGAAACCTTCAACCAACAACACGTTCCCAAGGCCCACAAGCTCCCCATTGGCTCCCATCACCTTGGCATTCCGAACACCAACCACAGGGAGCAAAGCGCCTGAAACGGCGGCAACAAACTTGATCTTCCCAGGGGGCTTTACCTTGTCAAGCAAAACTGCCCGTGGGGTCATGTGACATGTGAACCAGAAATAATGACCCAGTGAGTGAGGGGGTGCATCACAACCTTCCCAACTGAACCCACATCACCCCCGCTCCCTTGCACATCCTCCACCATAATGAACATCCCAGGGAAGGCTTTACCTTGTGCACCATCACCTTGAACACCTGATCCTTGCACGGCGCCACCTTGCGCACGTTCACCATTTGGCGGCTTCATCCCTGGGGGTGCCCATCCCTCAGGCCGGCTGAAACACTTAAACCATGGGTGTCCAGCCTTCTTGCAGTACCAGCATGCACCCTCCATTCGGGTGCTCCCCCTGCCACCAGTCCTCCCATGCCCCTCATTGTAGTCACCTCGACCTCTCCCTCTGCCAAAGCCTCTCCCACGGCCTCGGCCTCTCCCACCCCCTCTTCCTCTGCTGCCTCCCGCAGCTCCATAGCCCACAGCAGTCTTTGTTGACAGCAGCACCTCCCGTGTGTCGCCTGCAAAAGTCATCCTGCAGAATCTGCTGCCGTAGCCACTCAGGCGTCCATTGATCCTGCTAAGTGTTGAGGGTGGGGAAAAGGTTGTCCCATGTGTTGTCGAGCACCGAGATGATCTTGGTGCACTGCTGCATCTGTGACACCTTGCTGATCGCCGCTGCCATCCTCGCATATGTGTCCTTGATCTTGTCAAGGATTGGCTTTACATCATAGCCCGGTTGCATGGAGAGGGCAGCCAACTCCTTCTCCAACACAATCACCATCGCCAGCGTGTTGGTCTGAATCACGTTGCGCAGCAGCTTCCACGCTTTCTCTTCCAGAGTCGTCCAGCTCCACTAAGTCCTTGATGTGCTGGAACATGTCGTTGTTGACCGATTGAAGGATGAGGTCAAACAGCACCGCGCTCTTCTCAATCCACCGATCGCGGGCATCTCCTTCCTCCGGCATCTTCTCTTCCCCCATCGCAATTTTCAGCAGCTTGTATCGCTTGAAAGCACTCATCATCTGCCCGCTCCATTCCTCATAGTTGGAGTCATCTAAAGCCTCAATCTTGGATGGTGGCGGCTCATTCCTTTTCTCCGCTGCTTCTCCACTCCCTTGACTCATCTTCTCTTCACCCAATCACAAATTTCAGCTCCCCCCTTGCTGTCCACAACGAAGTCCCACAATATCTTCACACGTATCGGCGCCAACGAAAGTTTGGCAGAGTTTCCCTTAGCGGAAGTCACATCCAACCTCTAGAACTCCACTAAGAGGGTCTTCACACCTCAGCAAACTCTTCACAAGGTCCTCAATCAGCTCTGACACCACTTGTAAGAGATTAAGGACGTAGTCTAGAAGATTAGGGGCCGAAATATCTCAAAATCGTTGACTAAGTTTCTGGACAGAAAAGTCGAGTTCAAATGAAACGCCGTCGACGGAAAGTTCACTGTTAAAACTTCACCAATTTCAGATATGTTGGAGCTGTCGACCGTGGCTACATTTCCCAATATGAATCGTAACAATAGGCGAAGTAAAACTGGAGTAATGAATTTCGGCGCACCGGGGGGTATGCTGCCACAGAAATTTAACTCATCTACAATTGTCTCACAAGATCCACAGAAGAAAGTTAGAGTAGCTAGAAACCAGGTAAGAGGGGATGAGGAGGACGAGCGGGAAGGTCCCAAGGGAGTCCCCAACCAAGGAAACCCCATATGCTCACAAGATTCCCTCCCTATAGGAACCCAACTTTCACCCTTGTCTTTTTCCCAACCTCTCAAATCCACCTCATTCCAACTTGGCCACACTTGCCAATCTGGTTTGGCTTCTCCCAACCACTTGGCATCAACTACAGTAGGAGTGACGAATTTCCC